ATTTTTCTAGAAATTTTTCCACATAATGCAAATATTTTGTTGGCATAAAGTTGCTCATAATATCATCCTATAATCTTTTTAATTTGGGGGACACTATAATAACGTACCCTTTTCTCTCCTGATACTGGGTATCAGTGTCACTTTGTCAGTGTTGTCTGCGTTACTACTTTTATTGTTTGTTTCAAAGAACAGTTTTAGCTTTATTGACCCTTTCTCTTATTTGTTTTCTACTTAATTTGTGCTTTGATTAATTAATTTATTACTTTCTCCTTTGTTTTTTCCTTGGGTTTATTTTACTATTATTTTACTATGCCTTTTGGGAGAGATGCTTAGTATTTCATTTTAACCTTTTTTTAAAAATAACACTATCTTTGCATAAGATACTATTATTGAGGTAGGCCATAAGTTGCCCTCCAAGTATGCTAGAGCTGCAGCTGATAAAGTTCAGTACCTACTATTATTATTTAGTTCAAAATATTTTCTAATTTCTATTACAATTTATTCTTTGACCCATGGGTTATTTAGAAGTAGAATTTTTAGTTTCTAAACATGAAGGTTTTCTTATATTTGTTGGATTTGCTAGTTATTTGATGTTATTAATTTCTAGCTTAATTTTAGTCAGCAGACATGCTCTTGATGATTTCAGTACTTCGGAATTTGGTAAGACTGGCTTTGTGATTTAGTGTACAATTCATCTTTGTGTGTGTTCACATGTGCTTGGGAAAAATGCATGTTCTGCAGTTAAATGCAAGATTCTTTACATGTTGGTCAGGTCAGGTTTGTTAGTCATGTTGTCCAAATCTGTGTCCTTTTGATACTGTGTGTGCTTGTTTACAAATTCACAGGGTTTTTAAGATCTCTCACATGAAAGATCTGGCGGAGGTTTGTCCATTTCTCTTTTTCAGTTTTGTTAATTTCCGCTTATTATGTTTTGAGGCTAGGTTATTAGGTATACCAAATTTAGAATTACTATATGTTTTTGGTGAATTTGTACTATCAATACAAAATGACTCTCTTTGTCCCTGGTAATGCTTCAGATGTCAAAAACTATTTTGTCTGGTATTAATATAGCTACATCATATATAGTTGTCATAGGTACAGATACCTTTTTCTGTTCTTTTATTTTTAACATTTCTATAGCCTCTCTCATGAGCAAGATACAGGCTTTTTTTTATAAATCCAGTGAAATATTTTGTGTTTTAAATGGGGAATTGAATGCTTTACATTCCATGTTTATGCTGGTACACTCTTGATTAAATTTCCTATCTTCTTTGTCTGGCAAGTTCTAGTTTCTGTTTATTTCCTTCACTGTCTTCTTTTGGAGACTATATACAGAGATCCTCACAGTTAGAGGTGAGAGTCCACTGCAGCCAAGCCTGGGATGAACTGGTAAAAATCTGCCAGTATCCCCTGAGCAAATAGATTCCTCCACTGAGGGGATCACCCAAAACGTGGTAATGTGTGGCTGACGGGAGGTAGAACTGGGCTGTACACAAGGAAACCAGTAACCTGGTCTACTCCTGAGAGTGAGCTAGACACCTTGAGCCAGGATCTGCATAGAATTAAAACATGAAGAGCTGGAGACTAAAATCTTTGGCACTTTCCCTGTGGCCACCTAGGCAGGGACAAGTGTGTCTGGGGACATCAGTCTTCTCAGTGCCCATTGAGAGGTGGACTCCAGAGAGGAGCAGCGCTGGATCCCGGCTCCAACAGAACGACACCCTCCTCTTTGCACTGTCCAGGTCCCTCTGCTCAGACTGCAGGTCCAGCAGCAGCCTGCTGTCTCCCCACACTCTGTCCTTGTGATGCGTTACCTCTGCTTTACGGAGAGGATCGAAGCAGCCAGACCTCAGCTCCTCGGCTTCCCACCCTACCACAGAGACATCTCTCTTCAGCTGTTATCAGCCCCTTCCCTTCTGCCTCAGGGAAAACATTCTCCTCTTTTCTTCCAAAGCAAACCACCCCATCTGTACTCTTTTTTTTTTTTTTTTTTTTTTTTTTTGAGACGGAGTTTCGCTCTTGTTACCCAGGCTGGAGTGCAATGGTGTGATCTCGGCTTACCGCAACCTCCGCCTCGTGGGTTCAGGCAATTCTCCGGACTCAGCCTCACGAGTAGCTGGGATTACAGGCACGCACCACCGTGCCCAGCTAATTTTTTGTATTTTGAGTAGAGACAGGGTTTCACCATATTGACCAGGATGGTCTCGATCTCTTGACCTCGTGATCCACCCGCCTCGGCCTCCCAAAGTGCTGGGATTACAGGCGTGAGCCACCGCGCCCAGCCCCATCTGTACTCTTGTCCCTATAACTGAATCGATTGAATTATTTCTCAGTCTTGTTCCTTCCCCCACCCAAAGCATGCCCAGTCTCTACCCTAAGTTAGGTTGTATTGGCCACTTTCCACTGAAGCTACTGCCATATTTCTCTCTGGAAAAAAGGAATGTTTATTTCCCAATTCTTCTTTCTCATATTTTCCTCATCCCTTAGATCTAATGAGTCACCAAGTCCTATATATTTTATCTTGAAAGTTTCTCTGCATTTCCTTTTTCTCCTCTGCATTCCTTTTCTTACTCTGTGTCACTGGGCAAGGTATTTAACTCTATATACTTCAGTTTCTCCTTCTTAAACAGGGATAAGTTTCTTAGGACAAATCCGATAACATGATAAACTGCCTAGTAGGCTATTAGAACATAGCCTACTGGGGGTTCAGAAAATAACACCAGTTCCTGTCCTTGTCTTTTGGCAAACTCCAAACCATTCTCTGTAATGTCTCCTAAATGATCTCCTGAAACAAATGGCCTGACTGGTTGCTTCATTTTAGGGCACAGGACTCCCTGTGGCCCACAGAACAGTCAGAATTCAGATGGTCATCGTGGTTCATGCCTGTAATCCCAGCACTTTGGAGACCAAGGCGGGCAAATCACCTGAGGTCAGGAGTTCAAAACCAACCTGGCCAACATGATGAAACACCGTCTCTACTAAAAATACAAAAAATTGCCGGGTATAGTGGTACACAGTTATGATCCCAGCTACTCAGGAGGCTGAGGCAGGAGAACCATTTGAAGGCAGGAGGCGGAGGTTGCAGTGAGTTGAGATCGCACTGCTGAGCTCCAGCCTGGGCGACAGCAATACTCCATCTCAAAAAAAGAACACTGCAGAACCTCTGTCTCTTTTGTTGGAGTAGCTGAGCCAGGCTTTTGGCCTACAGGGTTGAAGCAAGGGTGTGAATGAGCTCTGGTGTGGGAGAAACTGATTCTCCAGGGGAAAATACCTGCCCTACGTGGAAGTGCTGGGTGCTGTGATGTTTCTCCCTTGGTCTGGCCACCACTCCAGTGCACAAACTGCTGCTGTGGGAACGGAGCAGGGAGATGATAACTTGGGGTACCATTCGCTGTCTGTTTCTGGGTGTCTGCTATAGTACAGACCTGGTCTGCCCTGGAAAACCCCAGAAGCATTCTGCATCACAGCCTCCACCTTCTATTTGAGAATCCAGTAGAGTTGGAGAAATTACATAGATGCGGGAGAGGGAGCTAGATACCAAAAATATGAGGGATACCTATGGAACTGGTGCAGGAAGAGAGGGGAAGAAGTTATCCAGCCAGGTTGCAGCTGGGTTGGCCTGACCTGTAGCTTCCAGTTCCAGGGAAAATCATAGGTGGAATGGATGAAAAGAAACTGGAATATGACCAACAGCTTCTGTGAAGAACATAACAGCTTGTATGAATAGAAAAGGTGCAGTAGAGGGCACCCAGATTTGAACTGGGGACCTATTGATCTGCAGTCAAATGCTCTACCCCTGAGCTATACCCCGTACTTGTTGTAGGTGTCTAATAAGCACCTTTCATGTTGGTAGTCACACCCGGCAGTCCTGCAGCACATTGGAAGTTCCTACTTATTTCTAGAGAGTAAGACCAGCAACTGATTCTAACACAGACTCACCCCAGAAAAGTCCATCCCCAATTCCCAAACCCTAGCCTCTGCTCACATGCCTGTATGTCTCCCCCTTTCCCTCAGTCTGTGGTGACAGCAGCAGCTGGGATCAGCGTTTCCATTTACTGCCAAACAGTGTTTAGGTCTACATGTCTGATGTCTTCTTGTTTACACTATAAAATAGCAGTTTGGTGACACAAATTGAGACACATGCAATACTGACATCTGAAGTTATCTCTCAGTCGGGGATGTTTGCATTAAATCCAGTTCATGAAACAGTTAAGGACGTTCTTGGGCCTTTATTTGAGTTGTCCTGGGAAGCATCATGGAGACAGCATAGCATTAGGACCACACAGCACCTTCAGGTTTTGGCCAGAAAACTCTGCTGCTAGTGTGGAAAGCTCTACCCTGAACCACACCTCCATCTCCAGTGCATGACTGTTTTTAACCTTACATATATATATATTTTTTAATCTAAGTATCTTGTGCAACTGTTTTTGAAAGCCAAATACTACTTTTAAAGCTTATAATAAAAGAAACCTCAATCCTTTGTATTTCCCTCTTGCCACCCAGAGGCAGCCACTCTCCACCCTTTGGCTGTTTCTTCTAGTCTGTTTGCCTCTATAATTTTAAGTAATATAAATATGTCATAATATACTATGTATAATTTATCAAATTTAGATATCATTAGCTGACATTTTTGTAGATGAGGATTAAAACTCTTGCCTTCTTCCCTTCTGTTTTCTAATTTGTTTACTGTGTATCTCAACTTTTTAGATAAAATACTATATATTTACCCTCTGTTCAATTTTATCTTCCATGTTTTAATTATTATGGGGTCAATAGTTTTTATGGCCAATCTATATAACCCTAAGCTGAACAGAGAGTTTTGATAGAACTTTTTGTTTTTCCTCAAGTTAGTGATAGTCTCACATTTTCAACTGCCCAGTTTTCTTAGAACATCTGTGATTTCCCACAACCTTTCATTGCTCCATGAAATGCCTGTCAAAACAGCTTACCACATTGTAAAAGCTGTTAGATCATTAACATCTCCACTTCTTGTTTTCCAGTAACTCTGCAGCTTCCTGCTGTGTTTGCTCTGCTGGAGAGCCTTCTGCACAGCCCGTGCCCTGGGACTTCCTCCAGCCTCACCGGGACATTCTTCCCATCTCTGTCTCCTGCCTGTGAGTCTCTTCTTCCTGATTCCAAGTCTCGAATGCTTATTAATTTACTTCCTCATTTTGGCAGAGGATGTCCTCCAGTTGCTTTCTGGGACTGGTGAGTAGAGGTGCATTTTTAAAGACTTTACATGCCTCAGAATGTCCATAATTCTATTTACACACCTGATTAGCAGTCTGGGTACATAGATTTCTAGTTTAACTTACAATCCTTCATATTGTGAGGATTTTTCCTGTTGTCTTCTAGTGTCTAATATTGCTGTTGAAAAGTCAGGTGCAGTTGTGATCCTCTATCTTTTGTCTGTCACCTGTTTCTTTCAGTTTTTAAGCTTTGACGATCTTCCCTTTTGTCCTGATATTCTCTAATTATACTATGATGAAGATAATTTTTTATTCATTGTGCTGGGCATTTGGAGAATCTTTTCTAATGGATAGCCAAGTCCTTTCCTTATGCGTAATCTTCCTGTATAATCTCCTGTCCATCATGTTCTCTTTTTGGGACTTTTATTAGTGTGTGTTTGTTTGTTTGTTTGTTTGTTTGTTTGTTTGTTTTGAGACAGGGTGTTGCTCACCATAACGTTGAACTCCTGGCCTCAAGTGATCCTCCCATCTTAGCCTCCTGAATGGCTAGGCTTACAGACATACCCCATTATGACGAACTAATTTTTTTTCTTTGTAGAAACAGGGGTCTTAACTGTCCAGGCTGGTCTTGAACTCCTGGCCTCAAGTGATCCTCCTACCTGGGCTTCCCAAAGAGCTGGGATTATACACATGAACCACTACACCAAGCCTACTAGTTGTTTTTCACACATCTTGGTTTTAACCTCTGACTTTATTATTTTTATCTCTCTTATTATCTTTTCCTTTGTCTTTTTGTTTTATTTTACTTTCTGGGAAACTGCCTCACCTTTATTTTTCAAACTCTCTATTTAATTTTTTATATCCTCTATCCTTTTTTCTTAATTTCAAACATTATCTGTTCTCTAAGTGACCCTTTTTATGTGTCTTGTTTAACAGATGGAATACTTTCTCATATCTCTCTCAGGATACTGATTCGTTTCTTTGATGTTTTCCTCTCTTCCCAGCTAATATACAAGTGAACCAATGACCTGCAGTTCTGTCTGTGCAGGGATAATGACCAGTCAGATTCTCTCTTTTCAAGATGTTTAACATAACAGATGCCAAGAAAGGGAAAAGGAGCTGACAGCAGAGGGGGAAGCTGAAAAGACATGCAAAGAATGGCCATAAAAGATATGAGTATGTCGAATGATGAGTGATCAGAAACTCCGAGTGATGTGGTACAGGTGTTAGTAGAGCAGGAAAGCCGACGATCAGGTTGGCTGTCAGTGAGGTCCTGTTAGAGAAGGGGCAGTCTAGGCCTGAGTCCTAAAGCTTCATTAGTGATGTCAGAAGTCACAGTCCCAGCTTCAAAGGCCTCAGTTGTCTGAATATTTCTGGATCCCCACGAAAAGCCCATGACTCCTGTTTTATTCTCACTGCACACCCCTGCCTATGATGACCCTGAGACACTCCATGCCTTCTAACCCAGTGGCAATATCATCAGGGTGGGAGCTGGCTGGCTGCTCAGATGCCCCCCAGGCAGAGTCTCATCATAAGCACCATGTTTAGGTCTCACCTTTCTGCAATGTTTCAATTTCACCCAAAGCCACAGTTTCAAAAAATGAACATTATTTCACGACTCTGGATCTTCCCATTATAGAACTATTCACACTCCCTAATCAGGGCTCCCTTCCCACATTAGGACAGGCAGGGGGACTCCAGCAAGGCCGGCGTTAGGGTGGAGGTGGCTGTGCAGCCCCTGGGGTATTTGCTGCTCTAGGCCAGAGCACCCTACCTCTGCCTGCCCAGCAGCAGAGCCCCTCTCCAGGGATTATTCAGGTCCTGCTGGGAGGAACAAACAGCAAGTCACTGGACCCTTCCCCTTCAGATATGTTAGAAGGACTTCCTAAGTCCCCGTCAGCAACACATGTACAAACTGTCTGTTGGAGAAGGTACCTTCTACAGAGAGGCATGCCCATCAGATTCTCAGAAGGTGAGCTGATTTTCAAGTTACAGTAGCTCCGTAGCTACCAGAAGAGCCCAAGTGAGATCTGACGAAGTGGTTCTAGCCTCTCTATCCACCTGCCCTCCAAGGAGCTGAAGACTTCAGGCTGAGGAGGGCTGGCTGAAATGGTCGGAAGACGGGACTGAAAGGGAAGCAAGGCTTGGCCTCTTAGCAGGGGAGCACACCTGCTAGTAAGCCGAAGCCACTCTAGGTGTGAAGAAAGAGCCGCAGGCAAGAAGAGCATGGGGCTCAGCTCCCAGAGTCAGAGATACTGCTTGGCCAGCCCATGCCAGTGCTAGGGTACAGTAGCTGAGTGCAGACCAAAAGGCCTTGCTTCCAGTCTAAGCACCCTTCGTCTGGGCTTGCATTTAATCAGCAAAGACAGTTCTGCACTTCTCAGTTCTTTGACCCAAGAAGCCTCATTCTGAATCTGGAAAGTCTGTAAATAAAACTACGGTTAACTTTGAATATCACAGGTTTGAACTGTGGGTCCCCTTAACACAGAGATGGTCTTCTGCCTTTGCTGCCCCAAGACAGCAAGTCCAGCCCCGCCTCTTCCTCTTCTTCTTCGGCCTCCTCCGTGAAGATGACAAAGAATAGGACCTCTATGATGATCCACCTCCTCTTCTATAGTAAATACATTTTCCCTTCCTTATGATTCTCTGAATAACATCTTCTTTTCTCTAGCTTTCTTTATCGTAGGACCGCAGTGTATAACACATAGCACATACAAACCATGTGTCCATTGACTGTTTATCAGGAAGGCTTCCAGTTATCAGTAGGCTATTAGTAGTTATGTTTCGGGGGAGTCAAAAGTTATATCTGGATTTTTGACTGCAAGTTGGCAGGGGGGAGGGGTGTCAACACCCCTAATTCCCTCATTGCACAAGGGTCACCTGTATGCATTGTGGAGCCTTAATGAAGCCCACTTTAGCCTTGGCAAGTGCCTCATCCCAAGCTCCCATTTCTCCCTCTTGGCCCTACCCACATGGGCCCTTATCCCTCACCATCTTTAAATCTCATCTCCCGTTGTAAAGTCCAGATGAATGTAGCTTCCAGAAGTTACCTCAAAAAGAAGCTTTTCTATGTCTTGGGCCCTCAAAAAAATAAGAGTTAATTAAATTACCCAGTGCTCCTCTAAAGGAGAAAGGCAGTCATCTTGGGGATGATGCACTGTTTTCCCACCAGGCCAAGTCATAGACCCTGGCGTAGAGCAGACACAGCCTCTGCCTGGCCCAAGGTCTGCTCCAGAAAGTCAGGTAGACTCAGGGCTGTCCAGCCCTGCAGGCCCATCCCTCTCCTGAGCTACTTATGGGGGCTGGAAGTGTTAGTCTAATGGGGCTCTCCTTCCTAGAGGGGACCTAGAGAACCGGTGGTCCAGGGGTCAAGTGGGGAGGAGACGAGGGTGCAGAGCCAGAGTGCTAGTGCAGAGCCAGCCAATGAGAGACCTGGATGCAGAGGACATAGGGGAAAAAGAAGCCTGGAGAGCCAAAAAGGACAGAGGGTAGCTCTGAGCTGCATTGCATTGACCCATCTTCTGTGGCCTCCTGTTCCCCTGCTTGTCCCTGCCCCACCCTTGCTGCTCCACTCCCCAGGCTCCCTGTCCCCACGCACTGCAGGGCCCACTCTTGATGCCGGCCGGTGCTGAGGCTCCTCCCTCCTGCATGGCTCCTGCCTGTAGCTCTGCAAGAGCAAGGCCACGCTTCCTACATGAGGCTCCAACTTCCTTCCTCGCATCAAAACTTGCAAAGAAATGGACTGGCCCCTTAGAAGGTAGCAGTGTTTGTTTCTTAGGCTAATATGTTATGGGAGTAAGCAGATTGCAGCTACAATTATGTTGTTATGGACTATTTTACTCTTGTTTGGGGAGAAAACATTAAGCAGAATTGGGTTCAGATCTTTGCTTTTGTTTTTTCTTTTCTAAAATAGTGTTATAATTTTTTTGTTTGTTTTCACTCTTTGCTTTTAGCTGTTGTTGCTTTTGAGTCTATGGAGAGACTAGATGGAGTGAGCCCAGCAGAGCATGCTGGGCAAGAGAGGTCCTGCGTCCCAAATCAGAATTTCAAGTGGTACAAAATGAGGCAGTAAACCTGCATGTGGAGGTCCGATATCACTTGCAGAAGTGAATTGAACAGATGTCTCTCTTTTGGTAAGGATGTGGTTTTATTGACTTGAAATAAGAATGTTCTCGAGCAACAGCTGGTCACCCATGGGATGCTGCCACAAGGAATAATTGAGCACTGACTCAGACACAGGGGAAACCACTGCCTCTGCCAGTCTTTCTCCCAGATTCCAGCAGTCAGCGTTGAGCATTTCACCTTGTTCACCTCCCTGGGAAGACGTTGCAGCTCACTTGCCCCAGTGGGCACTGGGAGGCTCTGCTCGGGTGGGAAACAGATGCCCCCCAACATGTACATCTGGTGTTTCCCATATGAAGCAGGTACAGGGGTCCTCACGTGAACACAGGAGCAGGGAAGTAGCCCCAGGGCATAGTGTGGAGCCTCGTATGGGGAAACAGGGATTAGGGAGGGGCAAGGAAGAGGAGTTGGCCAAGAGGTAGCAGGTGGTCATCTAGACGGTCATGATGGGTGAGGGGTCTGGCATCTCACTTTTCAGATGTGGGGATCTGGTAAATTTCGGTTTCTTATTACTATCTGGGAAGACTGCTGGTAGGTTTCCTGAGAACACAAATGTAAATTTTGCCTTGGGTTTCAAGAAGGAGAGGGTCAATTTCTAGGTTTATTCAAGAAAAACCATAAACCTCAGTTCTACAGGACAGTTGGGCCTGTTTCAAGGCTCTGAGGATAAGGATTAATGAGGGGACAGAGTCACCTGGAGAACTTCACTGGGGCCTACAAGAAACTACAGAGGCTTTCTGGCAAAGCTCTCTGCTGTCTACTCTCTCTTCTCTCCTTGCAGGAAGATTCCAATACCATTCCAGACCCCAGAGGTGAAACGGATTTTGTTCAATAAGTAGAAAACTGAAGGGCTGTGGGAGGCACATGGATTTTAACTAGAGCCCTCTTGGCCTGCAGGCAAATGCTCTACCTTGAGTTGCACCCTTCACTTGTTAGAACTGTTTCTGATAAGTGCCTGTGCAGCCACATCAACACCTCAGTTTCTTCTTGGTCAGTCCATCGGAACAGCCCCACTGCAGACAACCCATTCATGCTCTCCTCTTTCCCTAAACCCCAACCCCCTTCCACCTGTAGGCAATCCACAGGCCTACAGCTTCTCCTCTCAGTGGGAAAGACATCAGCTTGGAAAACCATTAACTTTATCCTAGAAAGGCTTTTTAAATGACCCAGCAGAGCAAGTCCTCAGACGGCCTTGGCCAACCCAGTGCGTCTCTCTTTTCTTGGTTGTAGTTCTCAGAATAACTGGAGAATGTGCCGGGAGTGCTGTGTCCTGAGATAAGGAGGAACTATCCTAAACCCGGACTCTGTTCCCCTCACACCTAGAACAGGACGTCCTGCAGCACGTTAGCCCAATGATCCAAATTGCCCTTGGGGTATAAAACCGAGAGCAGAGGGTGTTCAGGGTCCCTCAGCTGCAGTGTGAAGTGGGACACACAAAGGTGAGACTCCCTTCTGCCCTGGGCAGCTTCCTGAGCCTTGGGGGACCAGCTCACCCGAAATCCCAGGCTTCTGTTGTCCCTTGCCTGTCTGAGGAATAAAGTTGCTTTGCTTAACTTGCTGTGTGAGTGTTGTGTCTCCGGACTTGAGCAAGTGGTACAAACGGCACATTAATAATTGGTACATGCTTCATAAGTAGTTGCTTAATTTTGCAGCCCAGGAGATCATCTAGTGTTTCTGTGATGTGGGTTGATGGAATGAAAGAAAAATAAAACTTCTCAGACCTAACAAATCAGAATCTCCAGATGGCATTCTGGTGCTCAGACATGTTTGGCAACTTTGATTTTAGTCTGTACTTGCACGTTATATGCCTGAGAGAAAAAATGAAGACTGACATTAAAGGCCTGCCTGAGTTCACACATCACCTTAATAACAAGACCATAGCTAGAACCACATTCCTGGTTTTGGGACTTGCCTGAGTTCACACATCACCTTAATAACAAGACCATAGCTAGAACCACATTCCTGGTTTTGGGACTTGCCTGAGTTCACACATCACCTTAATAACAAGATCATAGCTAGAACCACATTCCTGGTTTTGGGACTTTTCATTGGCCCAGCGCATAGATGACTAGATTCCTTTCCGTGTCTTCTTTCTCCACTTCCTTCCTACCAACCTCCCCTTAATCTGCCATAGGACCTGGGGCAACCTGAAGGTACTGATTGGTATGTGTCTCCGGTACTTAAAAGAGACTCCTCTCAGGGGGCACCTGGATTTGAACCAGGGACCTCTTGATCTGCAGTCAAATGCTCTACCCCTGAGCTATACCCCCTCAGCTTCTAGGAGTATCTAATAAATACCTTTTCACCTGTGTTGCAACACACATCTATGCATTGAAATTTACATTGACTCTTAGACAGTTTTAGAGATTTGGAAATTTTGCCTCACAGCAAATTAGCCCTTTTGGCCCTCTTCTTCCTTATATATCCCTCCCTACTTGGGCCCCTAAAAGGCCCCTCAGCTCACAACTTGCCATCTCAGGGCTGCTTTGAAGGCACTTGCTTGAAGAATCATCGCCAAGAGCTTGGCCACTCCTTTCTTCCTTCATCTCCTCCTTAAAGTCCACCGACTTGAATATGTACCCACATCCTCTTGCAGATCAAGAGGTCCCTGGTTCAAATCCAGGTGCCCCCTGGGAGCAGTCTCTTTTAAGTACCGGAGACACATACCAATTAGTACCCTCACCCCTACCCTGGTGGATGGATTTGGGGGCTTTTCTGTCCATCTCCTCTCTTTTTATTCTCATCTCAACTATTCTTGGTTTTTTGCAGGGTCTGGACTAAACCCAAGAAAGTCCATACCAATAATTTGAATCATTTGACCCCCATCGTATAGCCCAGGAAGTTTCCCCAGCTGTCCCAAAGGGTCTCGGGCCAGAAGCACAACTGGAGCAGCAAGAACAAGAAATGTCTCCTCTGCTGGGCAGACCTCTGCCCTAAGGCCCAGCACCACAGGTCCTGCAAAGTGAACCTGGCCCCTGGCCAACATCCTACATTAAGGCCACTGCTGACATCAAAAGGCTATACAGATCTCAAAAATGTAGAGAAAGAACACCCACCCAAAGGATCCCATGAGATGGTGGCAGCGCCTGTGATAACTGTATCATGGAGACCAAAGTCAGAATGCAAAGAAGCTCACAAAGGAAAATGCAATCTCTCTGTGTTTTTCTACAGTGCCAAACACAACATCGAGCATAAAAGTTGGGATGCAATAAATATTTATTGGAGGGAAGTAAACAAAGCAAAATGGGCTAAGATAACTAACAATGGAGTTAATATAAATTACTTGAGGTAGCACCAGTCAAATGAACTCTGTTGCTGTTTTGGTGTTCAGTTCTCCAAACCTAAGCATGCGTATTCTTCTGAACTCAGATTCTATCTTTCTCGCTGGAGGAGATGAGCCAGTTCACAGCCACGTGGAGCTCTGTCACTGGCTACTCTCTTGGTCTTCTGGCTTCCTCAGCAATGGTCCACTCTTATTGAAAAGGGGAAAGGCAAGGAAAGAATTAAAGAAATCCTCATATTAAAATTCTTTTTGTTAAAACAGTAAGACTAGTTAAAAGTCCCAAAGTCTACAACCAGCAACCATCATATTTAATGGTGCAGCGTTAGAAGCATTCTCTTAAAAACGAAACAAGACAAAGATGTGTGGTAGTTTGTTTCTATTTAAAACCACCGAAACCTAGAGCTAGTGCATTTAAGATAAAAAAATAATAATAATAAGGTTTTTAGGCGGAATAGAAGAAACAGAACACCCATTATTTCAGTGATACTGTGATTGTGCAGTTCTTGGATGTTGTCTTACGTAAGTACAATTTAGATCAGTTGGTTAATAGTGTGGTTTATATTCTTACTGACTTTTTTGCTTGTTTGTGCTACTCATTACTAAGGAAAGAGTACTAAAATCTCCAGTTAAAATTGTGTTTGTCAGTTTTCTTTGTGCTTCTCTTGGTTTTTGCTTTATGTATTTTGGAACTCTGTAATTAGGTACATATACATTTAAGATTCTTACATCTTCTTAATGAATTAACTCTTTTATCATTATGAAATATCCATCTTTATCGCTGGAAATATTTATTATTATAAAGTCTACTTTGATAATATAGCCTCTCTCGCTTTCTTATAATTGGTGTTTGCATAGTCTTTATTTTTGTGTTTGTTTACTTTTATCTGTATTTTTTGGTTTAAAACGCATCTTGACCTGGGCAACATAGTGAGATCCTGTCTCTAAAAAATAAAAATTAAAAATTATCCAGGTGTGGTGGCATGCACCTGTAGTCCCAGCTACTGAGGAGGCTGAGGCAGGAGGATTGCTTGAGACTGGGAGGTCAAGGCTGCAGTGAGCTGTGATCATGCCACTGCACTCCAGCTTGAGTGACAGAGGCATTTATTTGAGTGATTGAGAAATTTATTTGTCTCAAGTAAATAAAATGCATTTCTAAAAAGTAGCCTATTTAACAAAGACATGGAATCAGTGTAGTTACTCATAAATGGTGGATTGGATGAAGGAAATGTGATACATACACAACATGAAATACTACACAGCCATAAAAAAGAATAAAATCTGGGCCTTTGCAACAACATGGGTGCAGATGGAGGCATTATCCTAATCAACTTAATACAGGAAATTTTTTTACTGCATATATTTAGAATATCTGTTAATGAGGGGCATCAACTTTTAGGATTGTTATGTTCTCTTAATCAATTGACCCCTTATCAATATGGAATTGCTATCTTCGTCTATGGTAATCATTTGTCTAAAAACCAATTTTTCTAATGCTAACATAGATAATCCAGCTTTCTTTTGATTACTGTTAGCATGCTATATATTTTAGTATATTTTATGTTTTTATATTAAAAGTATATTTCTTTGGGGCAGCATGTAATGTTTTTTTTTTTAATCAAATCTGACAGTCTCTGTCTTTTATATGAGTCTTTAGACCATTTACATTTAATGAGATTTATGACATGGTTAAATTTAAATATATTATCTTTGTGCTTTCTATGTATTTCATGTGTTTTTAATTCCCCTTTTCCTCATTTTCTACCTTTTATATTTCCTCAGTATTTTTAAATGATTTTATTTTACCTCCTTTGTCACCTTATTAGCTACAACTCTTTTTGTATTATTTTAGCATTGTTTTATGGTTTATAGTATACACCTTTAACTTAGACTGTCTTCTAGTGATATGATACCATTGCATGTTTAGGAACTTTACAATGATATACGTCAATCTCTCCCCTCCCAAACTTAGTGCTATTGTTATTATATATTATACTTTGATATGTGCTGTAAATATCACACTATGTTTTTATTATTTTTGCTTGAACAGTTGGTTTTAGGCCGGGCTTGGTGGCTCATGCCTATAATCCCTGCACTTTGGAAGGCCAAGGTGGGTGGATCACCTGAGGTCAGGAGTTCAAGACCAGTCTGACCAACATGGAGAAACCCTATCTCTACTAAAAATATAAAAAAAAATTAATCAGGCATGTTTATGGGCACCTGTAATCTTAGCTACTTGGGAGGCTGAGGCAGGAAAATCACTTGAACCCAGGAGGCAGAGGTTGTGGTGAGCTGAGATGCTGCCATTGCACTCCAGCCTGGGCAACAAGAACAAAACTTTGTCTCAAGAAAACCAGTTGGTTATCTTTCAACAGATCTAAAATTTAAGAAAAAGTATAGAGATGCACCCACGTAGTTACCATTTTGGATGCTCTTTATTTCTTTTTATAGATTCATATTTCCATCTGGTATCATTTTTATTCTGTCTAAAGGATTTCTTTAACATTTGCCTCACTGTGGGTCTCCTGGTGGGGAATTCTTTCAACTTTATTATGTCTAACATGCTTTGATTTCACATTTGTTTCGAAAAGGTATTTTCACTCAGTATAGAAGGAGGTTGAGAGTTCTTTTTCTTTCAGAATTTTAAAGATGTTGCTCTACTGTTTTCTTTCTTTTTTTTGAGGCGGAGTTTCGCTCTTGTTACCCAGGCTGGAGTGCAATGGCGCGATCTCGGCTCACCACAACCTCCGCCTCCTGGGTTCAGGCAATTCTCCTGCCTCAGCCTCCTGAGTAGCTGGGATTACAGGCACGCGCCACCATGCCCAGCTAATTTTTTGTATTTTTAGTAGAGACAGGGTTTCACCATGTTGACCAGGATGGTCTCGATCTCTTGACCTTGTGATCCACCCGCCTCAGCCTCCCAAAGTGCTGGGATTACAGGCGTGAGCCACCGCGCCCGGCCTCTACTGTTTTCTTACTTGCGTTATTTCTAATAAAATATTTGTCATTATCATTTTGGTTCTTCCATACCTAGCATTTTGTCCCCTCTGGCTGCTTTTAAGATTCGCTTCATTACTGGTTTTGAGTAATTTGACTATAATGTAATTTGGTATTGTTTTCTTCAGGTCTCTTGTGCCTAGGTTTCATTAAGCTTCTCGAATCTGTGGGTGTAGAGTTGGTAGTATAAAAACTGGAATTTAGGGGGGCATTATTTTTTCAGTTATTTTTCTGCCCTACACCCTAATTCTTTCAGAAATTCTTTTCTGCTCACGA